CCCCCCCAAAATCAGGGCTGGATCTGTAAAGGACCTGGAGCTGCTTGGTAACAATTTGTGTATAGGATGTGATCTGGTTATGGGAATGTTTACTGGATGAATCTAGTGGCTTGGCTTAATTGGGAGATCTGAGGAATTAAAGAGGATAAGCCACAGCAGGCAAGCATTTAAGAGCTGATAGAGGTATCTAAAGGCCTAGGGATGCACAAAGTTGTAAGAGCTCTAGGAAATACAAAAGGCCAGCAGTGAAGAGAGGAACTTGTGCTTCAGACACCCGTTTCAGTTCCATTTGGCAGGCCCCAAGCCTAGTAAGCCTTTAAGAGGTGTGTAGTGTGGTTTTGAAGCCCTTTTCTTCTAAATGCTCAATTCTGCTGGGAAAGCGTGGCTGACACGGCCTGTCCCACAACTAGAATTGCAGCATCTCAGCCCAAGCATAGTGAAAGCAGGAGACATGAGACCCTGGGGCTGCACTCAGAGAGACCAGAGGGAGGTCAGAAGTAACCAGCAGCAGTCAGTTGGATTTACCGTTTGGAACGACCGCTTTTAAACCTACAGCAAGATTCCACAGGTCATCCCGGCCTGCACTGCGCAGCGGAGGAAGATGAGGCGATCCCTCTCTAAACGTATGTCTGCCCCTGGGGACTTATTTTGGACATCTTGTAAACGTAGCTTTCCAGTATATTTTTCATTCAGCTCTTAAATTAAAAACCATGAAAAGCCAGGAATATATACCCTAGCATTTTAGTCTCCCCTCCTCCTCTTTCTAGGAACAAGTCCTTCTGAAGTTGAAGGGCTAAACAGAACTAGTTAGCATCCAGGGATTTTCCTGAATAAAGATCTGAAAGACCTTTTAATCTTAACTGCTCCTGGGCCAAACCTTGATATCCTTACCTGGGCAAACTGCTGTTGAATTCAATGAGAACTTGGTATTTAAAAAAACCAAGACACTAGCACACCAGGCATTCCTGCATGGGCCACTCAGATGGTTCAGTTGAAAGTAAGCTTTGACTGAGCGGACAAGGCCTAATTCTGCATATAGTCATTTTGTAAAAGTGCTCAGAGACTGTCCCCAGGCATAGACGGGGACATGTGGGAGAACCTGCACTGGTTAACTGGGGATCCCCAAATTACCTTGCTCTTCTCTATTTTTAAAGGGTTGGCACTGGTGCAGCCACACCACTACCTGAGTAGGGGTTAGCATGTGTGGACGAGACTTCAGCACACACAATCTTGTGTGCTGAATAGCTATAATAATAATGTTCTTTAGGGTTAGGGGTTAGCTTATTAAGGCTTATTAAGGCCAACATTATTCTGTTCTTCATCTCAGAATAGGTGAGAGCATTCTACAGCTATTGCAGTCAAAGAATTGGATTATAGGTAAGAGTTGCACAAGCCAGCAAAAAATGAATAAAAAATATCTATATAGTATTAATGAACACCTATTCAGGGGTTGGCAACCTTTCAGTAACAGTGGGCCAAATTAATACAGCTCTGTCTTCTCAAGCCAAAGGCAGCAGCTAAGGGAGGTAGCCACTAGATGGCACGTATTTGCACAAATGTGTTTGGTGGACAATATGGCTTTGCCTGATAGAGCCAGCCTGCAGGCCGCAGGTTGTCAATCCCTGACCTATGTAGTTATCACCTTCTCCCTAACACACATTTTCCTATTGGTGTTAGGGTGGAGAAACAAATAAAATGTGTGACCTAAATACAGTGTTGCACAAATCCTATCCCCTTTTCTCAGACCATTTTAATGTGAATTTCTTGTTCTTTAACAAAGTCATGAACAATTTCTTAAGATGCTTACAAAATAGGCAGCATCACAGCTCTTTCCAAAAATCTCAGTTCTGTGTGTCTAAGTGAGGGTCTGATTACTGCTACATGGAATTTCAAGTGTGTGGGTGGGGAAGGGCTTTTTACATTCCTTATGTGGTTTTTGTTTTCTCAGTGTTGACCAAATCACTTTTCTTTGTAGATTTGTGAGTAATCTAAACTGCTGCCTGGCCTGGACTGCTGCAACATAAATATAGGAGGTTTTGTGGGGTTTCACTTTTTAAAATTGTTTTGTACAGGTAAGAAATAATTTACCCTGCAACTCGTACTGAAGACAAATGGTGGGCAAATTTTGAGTGCTAGTATGCATGTTTGAAATAATCTTATAATACTCATAATATGTTCATAAATGCTAAACACTTGTATGAGAGAAGATTTCTTATAATAAAGAGCTCTCTAACCTAGCACACAGTCAAAGATCCGGTGGCTGGAAGTTGAAACAGGCATTCAGTCTGGAAGTAAGTGCAAAACTGAACTGAGAAAATAGCTAAACATTCAATCAAGTTTAAAGGCCTGATTCTCAGTTACGCTAAAGTCTGTTTACACAGCTCTGGCAAAATGAAAAGTTAACAGTTTTGCTCATTAAGGAAAAATACAAGATGGGGGTTGATTTTTTTTTTTTTTTTTTTTTTTTTTAATAGAGAGCAAACAACATGCCTGCAAAACAATTTTGTTGCCAAAAAATCTCTTGATATACTGTAGCATATGCTACCACAGACTTGTGTAACTGAAGATACTGTCAGCTACAATTGTGCAACCCGTACAAGTCTCCACACTATCATTAGCAAACTTTAAAAAAACTTAGTGAATAGAAACTGGCAGTTCATTAGCTTGAAGAGTATCTGTTTAAAAGGACTGGCATGTGCTGATTTCCTTTAAGCTTGCTTTTAAGTAGCACAACCATTGCAATGTCACATTTGTTATAAACTTGCTCCAACCTGAATAGTATTTTCTTTGAGAAATATGCCATAATATATCATAAGAAACTTGTTTTTCATGAGAATATTTTCAAAAGAAAAAAACTCAGGAGCATCACCAGCTCTGTTGAATACAATGTTGTTACTATTTGTAATGTAATATAATACAAGGTGACTACACACCAACTGCTGAAACCTCCTTAGCCTGACGAAGGGTTTTTGAACCCGAAAGCTTGCTTAATAACTATTCTCCAGCTATTTGGGTTGGTCTAATAAAAGATATCAAATTCACCTAAGGAACCTTGTCTGCAAGATGACTATCATGCTTTTTGTGTTAGTGGTTTAATGAGGCTGTGGAGGTATGAGTAAAAATAGCCACATTTTAATTCAAGTACTTTATTGTTCTACTCAGATTAGCTGCATTCCTATTAATCCCCATTATCAGTTGCTTTGACTCAGTCCAGTGGCCAAAGACACTTGATCTGCTTTATCAGCTCCTTCCAAATGCCCTTTGACTTCCAAGTACAGACTTTTCACCCTCCCATTGGCCTCCCAGTAAGTTGGTTCATCATAAGAAACAAGGATACTAAGTTAGTGCTCTTGCACTCATTAACTTACCATTCTGCTCAGCAGACAATATTTTCAGGATGTTTCCTTGTTTGGCCTTTTTGGCTAGATCTTGTACCTTGCTTCATTGCGGCCCTTGTTTTCCATGAGCACTTTATAAAGAGGCCACTATTGAACTACAGAAGACAAATCTGAGCCCCCTAGGTAAGTGTTTTCTTGCTTTACTTACTTTAAAATCTTAGCTGAAACAAAAGCAGGCACAACTAAAACAAGAGGTGCACAGATGCTCAGAGTGGTTTAAAGTAGTTTAACAATTGTTAGAATCGATAAGGTGGACCAGTGAAAAGTAACAGGAATATGAATATGAATACATAGTAAAGAGGAAGCTGTATTTTTAATAACCCGTTTCATTCTGCCAGCTAGCATACCAAGTACTCAGGGGATTAGCCTCTCTCCACCCTCACAGTAAGCAGAAGTTTTTATCTGGCCCTTCCATGCCTTTTCTACTAACACATTGTTTCGGAAAGCTCACTGGGATCATTTTCAGTGAAGAAGACAAGAATAAATACTATTACATTTGTTTTAAAGATGTTCTTTTTGTCACCTTTGGACAATATCCTTGTTTTCCACAACCTGTGAAGCAAGGAATTCAAAAACAACTTTCGATCAGCAGAGCATTCTCAGCAAAAACAGGGCATCTGATCTTTACACTGCCTGCCCCTGCATGCTGATAACCTGGGTTGTTTGGAGGAATCGCATGCCAGAAGTCTTGGATCCTCTCTCCTGCTGGCTGTTGTTGATTTTAGTAACAAAAATAGCAGCTGAAGGCAAGGCTAAACTGAACCTGAGAAAAAGGGGGAGGGGGCAGAGAGCGAGAGAGGTCTGTTTGTATTTATATCCCTTACAATCTTGTCAACCAGATGCATACTTATATAGAAGCAGATGGAAGTTAGATGGGTCGTGGCTCAGTTCTTTAATTTATAGATGCCTTTACCCTAAAGGAAGGAGTATATCGACAGTATATTGGTAAGTTTCTACTTTTCCTTCTCTACTTTTTCTTCCTTTTTTACAAAAACAATTTCTCTTTGTTCTTCATGGCCTGTTTATGGTAGTGACAGTAAAGAAGGGATAGAGCATATAATGTAATGTTTAAAAAATGTAGCCTTTTAAGCCTAGCATTCATGTAGGAAAACATTAAGCATTATGTTGTGGCATATTTTTAAAAGTATAACCCTTCCTACCTGTGGTAAATTTCCTACCAAATAGGTAGGTGTTCCCTTTAGAAGAGAGCTGTTTTCCTAGCTGAAATTTAGTTTGTGTATAGCTTTTTCCCAGTGCATAATCTTGTTTTGTCTGCCTGTCGTGTGGTCAGCAGTGATCATGCCATGAATGCTTCATTTAGAGCTGTAGCTCATGCTCCCTGGTAATGTTTAAAAGTATGACCTGCCCAGTAGGATTTTGACAGCCATGAGAGACCTTTGGCTTATCCAATGTCAGTTTGTATTTCCTACCAAACATAAGTATATCTATGCATGCCTTAAAGATGTTTCTGTGTTTTTAAATCATAATCTGCTCTGTTGGATTTAGAGACATTGTGATGGCCTTAAAATAGCTTTCTAAACCTACTAAACAACTATTGGGGAAATGAGTTTTATATCATTTTCTTTCTATTTGGAACTGGAAAGCATTTGTTGACATCAGTTCTGTTGGCAACTTCATGGGTGATGCAGCAGAAGTCTCTGATTTGGGATGTTTAATGGTGGACAGCCAAACATACCTATTAAGCTAAAGGCATCTTTTTTTTTAAAAAAAGATTAAATTATTTTAGATGATATAAAAATGAGAATAAACATGTTATCAGCTCTTCAGCTTTTTCAGGTCTGACCTTCCAAGGTACTCTTTGCCCTCAGCTTCCACTGAAATCAGTAGTGGCTCAGGGTGTCAGCACGGCATGGGAAGTACTCTACATCCTTGGTTGCCTTAGATGAGGACTGTCCAGCTGGCAGCCTTCAGGCTGCATGCAGCCTGGGAGGAGTTACATTGCAGCTCAGGCAGCTGAGGGGGAAACCAGGGCTGCACAGGTGCACAGTGCAGTAGTGGGTGGGAAGCACACCTTTGCAGGTGTGTGGCATCATGGGAAATGTCCACATAGCATGCAGCCTGGGGGAAATAGTGCCTCACTCTTGTGCGGTCCATGTGGCCTGCAGAGCATGTAGCCACCAACTTAGATGTTGGACAGCACTGCCTTACATTCCACCCTCCATTAAAATCAGGAATTTCAAGCAGCCCTAAGGAAAGAAGCAGCTAACTTCCACTGAACCCAGTTCCCTCACACCCCTTTGAAAATCTCAGTCGAAATGACAACTTGCAATGTCACACTTCCCTGACCAACCGCTGTTTGATCACTTGGCACAGGTTGACTGTGTCCGCTTGTTCGTGTGACCAGACTCTGGAATAGACTCCCTGAGGGGGTGCTGCAGGCACCTACCCTGGAGATCTTCAAAAGGAGACTGGATGCACACCTTGCTGGGGTTATTTGACCCCTGCAGTCTTTCCTGCCCAGAGCGGGGGGGGCTGGACCTGATGATTTCATGAGGTCCCTTCCATCCCTAAACTTTTGTGAATCTGTAAAGTTATTATTTATTATTACAAAGTGCCCAGACCTATGGTAAATGCTTTGAATATCCCTGCCCTAAAGAGTTTATAAACCAAAGGCCAAATCCTACTCCACTGAGTTGCCTAAATGAAGTCCCTGAAAATCCATTGACACATCTATATTTGTAATACACTGCCATCTTGGCCTTAAATGAAGTCACAACAGAAAGGAAGATGACCCACCCACCTTTTCCATTAATAGTTTTCCAGGGACTCAAGCATGATGAAATATGTTTGTGCTTAGACACCTAATAGGTGGAAAAGGATGTCCCTTACTGGGGACCTTCTGTCCCGTATTGTCTTCTGTCTTTAATTAGCAAGGTTCTCTTCTCTGTCTCTCTCTTGCATAACAAAGCACTTTGATTTATAGTCTGTAGTGAATGCTGTCTTGAAAAGCATCTTGTTACCAGTCAAGCAGATTGTGATACAGAGGGGTTTTACAAATCGTTTTCAGACAGCATCCTATATAGCAGGGCTGTCAAACATACAGCCCTTGGGCTGAATTTGGCCTGCAGAGCCATTCTTAGCCCACTGGATTACTGGCAAGTTAGGGAATTTGGGGCTGTGGCCAGCTGGGGGTGGGACCTGCTGAAGAATCTGGGGTCTCACTGAACATGGCCCTCAGTGGCAGAGGAGTGAGTGAGGGCTACGTTGAGGGCTTCTTGGCCTGCAGTCACTTGGCACTACAGCCACTGCCGCTTGTGTCAACCCTGCCACAACAAGCAGCTCCTTGCCCTGCCACCACCAGTGCCTCCACCTCATTGCCATTGACTCCACCCTAGATACTGCTTGGCCTGCAAGCAGAGCCGTCCCTTGGGTAGGGCGAATCAGGGCAAATGCCCCAGGCCCCATGCTTTGGGGGCCCCCGCGGAGCTGGGCAGAGCAGCCGTGGCCCCTCCCATGGGGCCCGCCTGGAGCTGGCAGCTCAGCCCCATACCATAGAAGAAGTGTCTGACTGCTCACCACATGCCTCCGGCTTCATGTTCACTGAAGAGTGGCTCATCCAGGGTGCATGGGATCTTCCTGGCCCTGGGCACCAAATTTCATTGCTACGGCACTGCCGTGCCCTGCCTCTGTGGGGGTCCCATGGCCCCCCACTGCACTGCGTGCAGTGTTAAACGGGCCCCACACAGGCTGATTTGCCCCAGGCCCCACACCCTGCTAGGGTCAGCTCTGTCTGCAGGTCAGGCCCGAGAGAAGCCCCATGGTCTGGATCCAGTCCAGGGCACAGTGTGAGTTTGACACCCCCGCTATTCAGTATGTAGAGGAGAAAGTCCAATGCATTTGAGGCCATCATTCCATCAGTGTGGACCCACTCTGTTCTACTTCCTAAAGTCCTAGAAGAGAGTGAACCATGTGTGAAAATGAAGAGACTGAGGCTCTGAGGGAGATATTGGTTGTCCAAGAGAAATACTAAAGGAAATGGTAGGGTTTGTGATTCCATCTGGTGTTTGCCTCTTTCCAGAGCCATGTAGTTTTGGGGAGGGTTTTTGGACCATCCATCCAACCTTACAAACCAGGTAGGGGCTTATATACCTACAGCAGATAGAAATACAGGACAATTGAGGTGGCCCAGATGTTTAATGTGGCTTTTATTTCAAGCCACTTCTCCAATCAGTTGTGTAAAACCACTGATGAGCTCCAGCTAATCAGAGAAGCAGCCTCTTTTGAAGCAAAAGCTGGACCCAGTTGGGGTATGTTGGTGCTAATTAAGTGGATTGCAGAGCCACCTGGTTCTGAATTATCTGGGTCCTTCTGTATCTGCACATACAGCTTTGAGCCTTAAAGCTGAACTTCTGCAGTGTGGCTAGTTTGCAAGAGTACTCCTAAACTTTACAGCAGAATACTAGTGCCTGTATGCATTAAACTAATGCATGAATTTCAGCAAATGACCTCTGTCTTGGGGAAACAATACTGGCTTCTTATCTGCTGAATGATGCAGTTTAAACTCCTGGTTCTAGTACTATAAATCCCTTTAAATTCTATATTGTTGCTTTCCCTGTGAACAGTTTTGATAGCTGAGGCACTCCCCCCATCTATTCCTACACAGGTAGTTTTGAGAACTGTTGAAAAGATGTAACCCAGGCACCGTTGCCTGGGTTGCCATAAACCCAGGCACCGTTGTTGCCTCAAACATCTGCCTTTTTGTCAAACATCTGCTTAGTCCAGGGGTGGGCAAAATACAGTCCACAGGCCAGATCTGGCCCATGGATGGACTTTGTCCAGCCCACCCTAGGCCCCTCAGCCCCTCAGTACCACCTGACACAGGTACTGTCCAGCCTGTGGTACATCCCACTGGGTAAGCTATGCAGCTGAATTGCATTTCTAGGCAGCCCAGGTGGCAGCAGTTCCTTCTGGCTGCTGCCACTGCTGGCCCCAGCCCTATGGTACTGGCAGGGGCCCACCTGCACAGCCCTGAGTCCGCCTCACCCCACACTTGTTACAGACCACCCACCCATGCCTAGCAGTGGTGATGGCAGTGATGGCTGGGCAGAAGCTGCTGCTAGGAAAAGCAGCCACCTTCCCTTCACCACTGCCGGGCCCTTCTTGCTGCAGTCACCCAGAGCCCACACCCAGGATGCTCTGTGGCTCCCCTCCACTGCCACTACTGCCCTGCTGGGCAGCGCAGAGGCAGCTGTGATGGTGGCGAAGGAGAGCTGCAGGGAAGCCCACGTGTGGGCTCCAGGCAGCTGCAGCAAGAAGGACCCAGCAGCAGCAAGTGGTGGACACTTTTCCCCTGTATCTAGCAACAGCTTCTGCCCAGCTGCCACCACTACTGCTGCTGCTCAGCATGGGCATGTGGTCTGAAGTAGGCGCAGAGCAGGCTGAGGTTAGGGCTGCGTGCACAGGGTCCAGCTGGTCCAGAGTTCATCCGTTCCATCCGGTGTGAGTCTGGAGTGCACGTGGGGAAGGCCAGGGTTGGGGGTGTTGCTGTGCACTCAGCTGCTGCTGGGTGCTGGTTACGGTGGCAGGGAAGGGCCGCAGGGTGCGTGGGCTCTGGGCCGTTGGTGGGGGGTGATAACTGGCCTGTGACAGCTCCCCAGAACTGTCTATGTGGCCCATGGACCCAAATAATTGCCTGCCCCTGGCTTAGTCCATAACTATAACTGAGTTGCTCTAGGTAGGGCTCATAGTATACCGAAGTATCCCAGCTTTTTCTCATTGATCAGCAGCTGAAAGCTGGGTCTTAGCCATCGCCAAGTTTTAATTATTTGGACTAAAATGTTTCATCTTTCAGACCTGGAGTAAGGGTTTTTGGGTTTGTTTGTTTTTTTAAACCCCATCATAGGTCTATATTAAAAAACTTTGAGAAGCTGTAGTAGCAGGTGAACTAGATCAGGAACTTGAAATTCGGCTGAATACACTATAACCTCATAAATCCGGATATCAAAAATCCTGAATGCTCGAAAATCCAGCACTTTGTAAAAATACAATACATTGGGGACTAGCAGCGGCTGGTCCCAGAGCAGCGGAAGGGGAAACTTGCATGCAGTGGCTGTCGTTGCAATCCACCACCCTGTGGTGCTGCTCTGCATGCAGCCACTGCTGCATGACCAGCTGCTGCTCTGGTTTAAAAAATCTGGAATTTTTAAATTTCTGGCAAACATGCCAGATTTATGAGTTTATACTGTATTAAACTAAGCTAGGAAGTATGTGACTTATCTAGGAAAACCCCAACAAATTTGATCAAATTCCATCCTTCAAAATTCTCAGTAGAAATTAGTAAGCACTTCCCAGTTAAATTCCCAAAGGAACCAGCTCACAACTTTAATTCTGGAATTTCCTGAAACATATGCTTAATCTTGAATCTTAATAATATTTTATGAATATTGGGAAGACGGTTGTACATAATATACATACTGAGTGTTAGTTCTTTCTGTCATGAACAATTTAATCTGCCCAGATGCCACAATGATAGTAGTGTCTGTTTTTATATAATTATCACAGTTAGATAACAATCAATGCCAATGTCATTCACCAACATTAAGATAAATCAGTAGAATTATAAAGTTTTGGGCATAGCAACCATCTGTTAGCATGCAGCCTATCACAGTGCAGCTGCAGCCTAAATTTTCCTAAATGCCACAGAAAAATTATTAGTATAGAATCACCTTAGAAGCCTCAAATAGCATTGTGCCCCAGTTATGCTAACCATTGTATAAATACAATTTAATGGCCATCAAGACTTGTTGTGCTGTATTTATATTTTCTTGGTCTTTTTAAATTTGATGCGGTTTGTTCCACTGTTGGCAAACTCTAATAGAGAGACAATGGCTCTTGAAGATGATGTTAGTAGTGTTATATTCTGTCACTTGAGGCATCCAGATATTATAGCATTGGACAGTGTTTAAATTTTTCCAAATTTCTAAGTCCAAGTTATTCACTTTAAATGGTATTTAGCTACCTCACAACTACTTATTACATAAGGTAAAAGTTTGACTCCTCCTGGTTGCAAGCGAGGACTAAGACTCAGGATGTTCTGGGGTAGAGAGAAAGCACTGGCCATGGGTGGAGTGGTGGGAGGGTGGAAGGCAAGTAATATGTGACATTTAAGTTCTTTACAAACGTGTCTTTTTGGACTCTGCCACATAAAGAGTTCCAGGAACACACTGTTCAAAATGCAGTCCATGCACATGTTAGTGTCTCTTATGCAGAAGGATTGCAAGATTAATAGCTAAACGGGATGTGTTACTCATTGCTACAGGAACCTCACTTCTAAGAACAGCTAAAATCTTTAACACTTCAAACTCCTTTTAAAATCCCTGAATTAACCTGAATTAACTACCCCCTTCAGCTCAATTTTCAGTTCATCTTCCTTTTCCCTCTCTCACTAGTCTTCTTGCTTCTCCCTTCGATGACCTCCCTTTCTGTTTTATTACCTTTATAATAGCACTATCTAGATTTGTAACATTTCTAATCCATCTGTGTCTTTTCTATCTTGTTCTCTACTGTGGGTTGTAGACAGGTATGTTTTGAGAGAGGCAGGGAAGCTAAACAAAGTGTTTATGGAGTGGTGTAAGCTAAAAGGTATCTGTGGTACTTTAGCTGTATTAAAACATGTTGTTTTTTCTTGACAATCTGGTATTTCTTCCTTCATTCTGATAATCTGGATGTTACACTTAGTGTAGGTTTATAGTACTGTATAAAATATTTAATAAGAGGTAAGCTCAGAGTGCATGAAAGGTTCAAGATGCATAGTCGGAGACAATAAACTCACGTAATCATCCATTAATTAGAAAATGGACAGGACTTTTTCATTCCCAGTGTGCTATATCCTGGCATAGAAGACAAAAGGGTGAGAGAGTAGTTCAGTTTATATGTTCATTCATTCTTTGTTACCGATAAGTACCAATCACAATGAAGGATTTTGTGCTGCCAACACCTATTTACCATGAATTTAGAGAGGCATTTGATTCATCGTGTACATTTTCCTCCCTTTTGCAATATGCACTACAAAAATGATCACTGTCCTGTTCTTTTCAGGTAATGATAAGTGAAAATGACAGGCCGCTGGACTGTATGCTGCAATAAAAAGACCATCTCCAAGAATGGAATGCCTGAAATGGACAATGTGGCGGAAAACGTGGAAGGAAAAATGAAGATGAAGCAAGAAATTACTTTGCTGAATGGTGTCTCTTTGATAGTAGGGAACATGATTGGCTCTGGAATCTTTGTTTCACCCAAAGGTGTTCTAATGTACAGTGGTTCCTATGGACTCTCACTAGTCCTTTGGGCTATTGGTGGGATCTTTTCATTGTTTGGAGCTTTATGTTATGCTGAATTGGGAACATCCATTGTGAAGTCAGGGGCTAGTTTTGCCTATATACTGGAGGCTTTTGGTGCTTTTATAGCTTTTATCAGACTATGGTCTTCCCTGCTAATTATTGAACCAACAACACAGGCAGTAATAGCAATTACATTTGCTAATTACATCGTTCAACCAGTATTTCCATCCTGTGAACCACCATATGACGCAGTCAGGTTGATTGCAGCTGCTTGCATCTGTAAGTAAAGTTGTGATTCCTAAAAAATAATTGAATTGCAGGTGATCATGAAAGTTTTTCAGATGTTTACTTCCCAATCCTTTCTGTGAATATAATAGATTTCTACAAAGGATAAATTTACAAGAGGTTATTCTTTTGCTTTGGGGATAATATTGCTTTGGGATTAGACGTGTACAATATTTTGATGGAGAGAAACTACAATTGCTAAGAGGCCACCTTATTTTAGTGTGGATCACAGGCCTGATCCAAAACCCCATTGAAGCCAATGGAAAAACTCCTATTGATCTCAATGGCCTTCTATTGAGATCTCAAATATCCAAATATTCACAAATAAATCAGTGACTGCTTGTCAGGACTTGGAGTGAAAATGAACAAAGCATTGCACTTTGATTCCTTCCCTTTGACCCCCTCAAAAAAAGAAAGAAAGAATTAAATGTAAAACTAAAATAGAAATAAAAACTATGCAAGCAAAATATTGAGCCTGGAAAATTGGGAAGTGTCCAACTATGGACTTTATGGTTGTTATTGATTTTATACTTTAGATTTGTCCTTAGTTCACATGTATTTGTCAAGATTAGCGATGTGTATTCTACTCCAGGGATATGCAGCTGCAGAATTGTGTCCAGTTTGGGACACTACACTTCAAGAAAGATGTGGAAACAATGAAATCACATGAGAGTTAAAAACATATATATTAGAGGTCTAGAAAGGTGGAAGGAAAAGTTGCAAGAGCTGAACTGGGATTATTTAGTGGAGAGGAGAGAAAGGAGGGATTTATTAAGAGTATTCAAATGAAAAACGTCCTTATAAAGAATATGGTGATATGTTTTTATATATCTACAGGGAAGAGTACAAACTATAATAGGCTTGAATTGCAACCAGGGAAAATTAACATAGACATTAAAAAGAGCTTTCTAACTATGTGTGTGGTTAAGTGTGTGGCACTGGAATGGAAAAAAAACTATAAAGATGGTGAATTCTATTACTGGAAGACGTTAGGTGCAGGTTAGACAAAGATTTGTCCTGGAACATTTAGACAAGAAAGATCTTGCCCCAAGCAGGGTGTTAAACTAGGTGGCTATTTGAATTCCCTTCAAGACCTATTTTCCTGTGATTCTGTGGACACTAATCCATGAGGCAAAACAAAAAGAATTATCAAATGCCACCTAGTAAATTAACAGGAGTAGTATTTTCATGTGATTATATACCGGGGATTCTGCAAGAATCTCTTCTATGCTTTTTATATAAATATTATTTATATTTCCCATTCACCCTACCGAGGTGGACAAGAAGTTCACTTCTGAACAACAGAGGCCATGAATTTAAACTGAGCTCATCAATAGTCTTTAACATTAAGAACTTTTAACTTATCCAGTTACATTCAAATATACTTGATTAACTTACGTAAAGATTCGATTACATCTTGCTTGGATGGGGCCATAGGATAGACTAAACTCAAATCCAAGACAAGGTTCCCCCCACAACATGGGGAAAAGAAACTCATCTTGGATTCAAGTACGGCCAAGGCAGGCAGCTGCTGCAACTCCAGCTCCAGCTCCAAACTGCAGCAATGAAGTGTGGAGTGGAGGGTGCCCAGGAAGACTGCAAAGTGGCACAGGAACTGCTGTGGCTCCAGATCCAGCTCTGACTCGACCCAAGGCCTGGGCCACAGCTGGAGCTATCCCTGCCACTTCTGCCCAGCCAGGGTCAGAGATACCATGTGCTCCATGGTCCAGGCTGGAGCTGTAGCCAGAGCTACTGTATAAGGTAAGCAGTAGGGTGGCAAGGGGGCAGGCTCTATGGGGGGCAGGCACTGGGACAGGTAAGTGGTGGGGGAGGCGAGTGGTGAAGAGGATAGGTGGCAGGGTTACAGGCACTGCAGGGGTCAAGTTGCAAGACCTCAAACAACGGAACAGGGGGCAGGCTGCCTGCCCTGCTACCACTGTTTTCCCCACTGCTTGCCCCCTGGCACTGCTTTCCACCCTGTAGCTGTGTTGGGGATGAATTTAAGATGACCCTCCAATAATTAGATTCTTAACATGGAAATCCAAGTCATCTTGGGTTCAGGTAAATACAGTATTACATGTACATTTCTCTCCCCAGCTGACCTAATATTGTCCCATGAACTACTTACTTCAGGGGGGCGGGGGGGGGGGGGGGGAGTCATATTCACATACAGAAGCTTCTTCAAGAGTACATTTTTACTTTTGTCTTGGCATTTTTGCTGCATTCCTTATGAAGCGCAGTTGCTAGGTCTGTAATATTTTGTTTGCTGTAAGCTAGTTTTCCCTGAGCTGCTGGCAGCTGGTAGGCATGTTTCCATGCAATAAATGGTCTGCTTCACCACAAACCAAGTTTATAATTGGCACGGCTGGCCGAGTTTATTGCGTGTAATGATGAATAGCTTATTATGATGATGATTTAGTAGTCACAAGTATTCAAACTCTGTAAGTGCTAAAAAATGTTAGCAGAAATAATGATCCCATTGATATAATTGGCATTGAGCCACTTCAGCAAAGAGAGCTTGTTTGGGACTGAGGGGCAAATATTGAATGCAATTTACTGGGAAATCCATGCCAAAATCTTATTATCTTGACTTTAAGAATTCTTAACAGCTCAAGCACTACACACAGTTGTGCTTTGTAGTGTTTAAAATATCATTCTTACAATTGATAATTCATCATGACTGATTGCCTAAAGGTACATGTTAGACTTCAAAGCGTACAATGTAAAATAAATGTTTAATGACCAACCTAGTATACATATAGTGGTTGTTACTTTATACCCCTACCCTTAAAAATCAGGAATACTATAAATTACCAGCTTCTAGAAAATGAAATCCTACTTTACTGTACATTCCACATTTGTTAAGTCAGGATTTATAGCAATTATTCAAATAGCAAAGACCTTTAAGATTATGTCCTAATCTGATATTTGTCTTGGAGCAATTCATTGTAAGAGCTAATATGTTTGTAGACCAAAATCTGGAGTCATTGCCTCATTACACACTAGCAAGTGATTGGAATAATTCCAGTGTGAAAAGCAGTGGTGAATCTGGCCATAATCCTGCAAACATTCATGTGCATGTTTCACTATACTGCCAGAAACCACAGTTAAATTAAAGGGGTCTGCTTCTGAGCATGAACTGTAGCCACTCTGTAAATGTTTATAAAAATGGGATCTAACAAATAGATGCTAGCTTTATTACACTTCCTAAAGTGAAATGCAGTTTAGATTGTAGTAGTTTTCCTTCCATTTTTAAACTAAAATAAGGTATGGATTATAGACAAGATAAAATCCTGAAAAACTAGTGCATAGTTCGAATGTGTCTCATTGTTCCATGACCAGGGCAGAGAATAAGATAATTCACCCCTTGGGATAGAGCAGCCACTCCTGCACACTTAATGAGGCTTGACTCAATAATGGACTCAGGCACCTCCAAGTGAGGTGCACAGTGTTTAACTTTTATGTGCCTGGTCCTCTGAATGGAGTCCAGAGCCCAGAGTTGGCCATGTGAGCTTCATTACAGTGAAAGGGGAGACCTATGTGCTTCAAAAGAGATTTGGAACACCCCCTCAGGGTATCCTCATTGTTTGAATCATTTAAAAATAAATTAAGTGCTGGAGAGGATAGCATAGGGAAAAACTGTGCTTTGGCAAGGACAGATTGGATGAGCTAATGGATAATCCATCTGATAAATGCTCATTCACATGTTCCCCTCACAAACAGCAGCTCTTTCATCTCTGCCAGACCTTTCCTCCAGAGTGCAAGCTGGCTGTCATGCTGAGCTCAGACTGGAGGGAGGATTGTCTGGTCTGGGAGTGCTGTAATGACTAACACATGGCAATAGGACAGGTGAGAGGTAGGCTTCCCAATGAAGGATGTGCATTTATCTCTTTCCATCAGAAATTCCTAGGCACTAAATAGTAGAGCTGAGTGGAGGATGGCAGTTTTGTTTTTTGGCAGCTTTCATGACTTCAAGATTTGATTTCATTCTATATCTGCCCTACAAAGGATGGTTCTGTAGGCTGGATGGGGAGTGTATCTGTAGTCTCATGTTTAGAACGTTGACCTGGGATAGAAAAGCTCCAGCTCGGCATGATAAAGAACAGAATTTTTCAGATCACATCACCTATGCCCCAGGCCAGTGCCCTGTTAGGCTAAAGAATGTTACTTTCTTTTCACCTGCACCCAACCCATAAACGTTTCATCTTTCAGGAAATAGCTTTTGATGAGTTCAGATAATTCTGAAATGTAGATGTCTCACCTGCAGATGAAACTCTAATTTCATTTCTTGAAATGGGTACAATTTATTGAAAGACAATTTATGTGGTGCATAACTCACAGCAATCATCTTGTCTGTATTTGTTTTCTCAATAGGTTCAATAACATTTATTAACTGTGTCAATGTGAAATGGGGAACCAGAGTACAGGATCTTTTCACATACGCAAAAATTCTGGCCCTTATTGTAATCATAGCTGTTGGTCTTTACAAAATCTCTCAAGGTAAGAATTTACTAAATTTTACATGAATTCCTAAAACTTGAGCAATATCTGAGGCATGACAAAAGTGTCAGAATCCATAGTTTAATATATGTTATATCACTATGAAAGAACTGTCAGCTTTCTAAAAGAGATGTGACAGCTATATTGAAATATAGGCTCTTGAGGCTAAAGCCTGTTTCACTTTACCTGCCTAAATAGCAACTACCCAGCAAGGTATGTGATTTTTTGGGGGCATTTGTGGGAATTTTGGTTTCTGTTGAATTTTGGATTGTGGTATGTAAGCTGCTGTGGATATAGTGGAGAAGTGCAAGCATGCTGCTGAACATGCTCAGTAGGATTACACTCTGGCCAGACAGATATGTGGCACCATACATGATGTGTAAAGATGCATAAATCCCTAAAAATGAAGTAAGCTGAGCACCCCCTCCATTGCTCCCCTTGAAGCTGTCTCTCCAGGAAGCCAAGAAAGGGAGATATTCAGGGCCAGAAGCAAAGTTGTGTGATGTAGTGAGAGAGCTGCTAACCAAGGATGGAGCCCTTGGTTCTATCATAGATCCTTGCTCCTACTAAGGTGGAAACTTTTACGCTGCACAACTCTCCATCCATTTTATTCAGTGGCTATTAAATGCAAAATGCAATGGTTCAGCTTCTAGGAGAGGGATGCAGAAGGGGCCTGACCTGGTTTGGTGGCTAGGGTACTCTGCTGGAAAGCAGGTAATACCAGTTGAAATCTCTTCTGGTTGAAGAGGGTCCCCCACTTCCTTGAGTGAATGCCTTTACTTCTTGGCTGTTGAGTTAAAACATGTATGGGCCCTCCTCCTTCTTCTCCTCCTCTTCCTCTTCTTCTTCTTCTTCCTTGTTTCTGGCAGGTACCTGATTTTATTGTACCTGAAGACAAAATAGAAGTCAAAATTGTAAGTGCCAAAAACAGCACTTAGATAGTTGTGTAACTGTCATTAGGTGGATAAATAAAATGGAGTTCTGTCATTGGGGTCTAATTGCTCTCCCTGGCTGTGCGAAGCTTCAGACAGAGCTTTGGATCCAGAGAAGCTTCAGATGCTTCAGGGTCCAAAGCAGCACGTCCCGGTCAAAGCGCTGGCCTCGTTAGGATTCCTGAAGCGCATCGGAGCTGCCTCGCAGATCCAGCGATAGGGTATAATGGGGAAACAATAAAATATCTATAATTTTGTTGCTTTTTGTCCAATTTGGATGGCATTTTCTGAACTGGTAGATGCTGTAGGGAGCATGAAGCTTGCCAGGTTTCAAGAAGATTGGTGCAGGGGTTTGGGGGAAACTGCACCCCAAATTCTTGAACGCAAAACTCCTGTCATGTCTAGGCATTACAACATAGGGGGGTGAAAACTGCAGGGATGGTAGCCTATGCTCAGGCCACAGAGCCTGCCAAGTTTCAAGAAGATTGGTGTAGGGGTTTGGGGGGAACTGTACCCCAAATTCTTGAAAGCAAAACTCCTGTCATGTGTATGTGTTATACCACAGGGAGGTCAAAACTGCAGGGGTGGTAGCTCTTACTGGGGCCACAAAGCCTGCTAAGTTTCAAGAAGATCGGTGCCGGGGTTTGGGGGGAACTGCCCTCAAGCTGTGGACAAGCAAAACTTGTGACATGGGTGATACTGCGTGTGTTAAGGTGCAGCAGCGTGACAGCTGCAGGGTTGGTGGACCCTGCTGAGGCCATGACGCCTGCCAGCTGTCGAGGAGATCAGTCTGGGGGGGAGGGGTCTGGGGGCCTGCACCCCTAGCTGCTGACAAACAAAACTCGTGCCATGGGTGCTTGTGCAACTGTGTCTGTGTCTTGTCTTGGGGTGTGGGAGACACTACTGCAGGCCTGGCTGTGAAGCTACTGTGTTACCAGTTACCAATCAATCATGATTCACTCAGGGACCAGCTCAAGACACAGGACCTAGCTAATGTAGCCAGTTAATTGCCATCAGTTTGCACCTACAAAACCAGACTAAGGAGAGGAAAGAATCAATGCAGACAATCAACTGCCCCAAGATAGAGATGGATACAGTTGCGCAAGCACCCTTGGCAGGAGTTTTGTTTGTCAGCAGCTAGGGGTGCAGGGCCCCAAAACCCAGAACCCCTGCACCCATCTCCTCAACAGCTGGCAGGTATCGTGGCTGCAGCAGGGGCCACCATCCCTGCAGCTGTCACCCCACTGAGCCTTAACACACACAGGGTCACCCATGTCATGAGTTTTGCTTGTCCGCAGCTTGGGGTGCAGTTCCTCCCAAACCCCTGCACTGATCTTCTTGAACCTTGGCAGGCTTGTGGTCTCAGTAAGAGCTACCACTCCTGCAGTTTTGACCCCCCTGTGGTGTAACACATAGACGTAACAGGAGTTTTGCTTTCAAGAATTTGGGATACAGTTCCCCCCAAACCCCTGCACTGATCTTCTTGAAACTTGACAGGTTTCATGCTCTCAGCAGAGGCTACCACCCCTGTATGTTTCATCCAAATCAGACAAAGCAACAAAGTTATAGATATTTAATTGATTCCCCATTATACCCTATGGCTGGATCTCCGAGGCAGCTCTGAAGCTTCAGAGCTGCTTCAGCTGGATCAAGGCAGAAACCCAGTCCGGAGCTCCGGATAGGATCCCTGGCATCCAAAGCGGCCGGATCGAATCGCGGCCGACTCGCACAGGCCTAGCATCCAGACAAGCATAAATGTTTGGTTCTCAGGGACAAGTAGCAGTGGCACAAGGTGCAGTGCCACTACTAGTCTCTGGGGAATGCCCATGCCACATGTGCTTTGGCATGTGGCAAGTTACCCTGGGGGCAGTAGGGACGGCTGGGGCCAGCACTGGGCTAGCCCCAGCAGCCTTACCTGCAGTCCTGGGGGTCTCCTGGGGCTGCAGCAGTGCCAATTCTGCAGCACAGAGCCTGGCCGGCAGCCAAAGTGTGACTCTGGGCAGCCCAGCTCTGCTTCTGAGCAGTGCACGCTGCCTATATGTGCAGCGCTCTGCTTTTTTTTCTGTGGGTTTTTTTTGACCCCAAGATATCTAGGGGTCAAAAAAATCCACAGAAATAAAAAGCGGAGAAAAAATGGAGAAAAAGCAGAGCAGCACATGTACAGGCAGTGTGCCTTTGCAGTGCGAAGAACATCTAAATGTGCAATATGTGGTGCTGCAGACATGTTTGCAGTGTCACATACCATACGGCTGTCCTCATCTGGCTGCGGCTCCTGTGTTCAGCACTGAACTTCCTGCTGCATTGCTGGACTTCTACTGGGACTTAAAATAGCTAATATAAAGATTGCTCTAGTCAATCCAGGTTGTAGTCTCATCCAGAAACACAAAACAAACCAAATAAACATAATATTTCCTCTCACACTACAACCCAGAGTGTAACTACTACACCCTGGATGCATTTACACATGCTTTCCTGCAGAGTAGACTAATTAGCTACACAGTAAAGCATCACCATCTATACGTGTGCCGGTATTAGAGCGCAGTAAATTAATTCACTCTGCTATAAAATAGTACTGTTGGGGACAGTACTATCTTATGGCAGGGTAATTTTCTGCACTGCAATGCATGTACAGAGACTGACCATGGGCATAAATGGCGCCCAGTCAGCCCAGCCAACCAGGGGCTTGCTCTGCCTCAGCTCAAATTGCTGGTGTCCTGGGTGCCCATGTAAACACTGCACTCAAGAGGAATTCACTCCAGCTCAAACTACTCTAGAGTGTATTGTTTCACTTTAATTGTACATGTAAATGCACCACCTGACTGCATCCAGAAGAGCACAGCCGCGTGATATATGGAGCAGCAGACACATTTGCAGTGCCACATACCACATGTTCAATTGTTCTCTGTGCTACAAAGGAGCAGCGTGGAGGGGTTTTTTTGATCCCTGGATATCCAGGGGTCAAAAAAACCTGCAGAGAAAAAAAGTGAAGCAGCATATGCAAGGGCAGCATGTACTGTTCAAAAGTGGGGCTGGGCAACCCAGAGCTGTGCTGCAGCTGCCAGCCAGGCTCCAAGTGGCAGAATCACCACTGCTGAATCCTTGGGAGACCTCCAAGACCCCAGGTAAGACTGTTGGGCCAGCCCAGTGCTGGCCTCAGCCTCCCCAATTGTCCCTAGGGTACCTTGCTGCATGCCAGAGCGCGTGTGGCACACGTGTTCCCCAGGGACAGCTAGCGGCAGTGCACCTCGTGCTGCCACTAGTTGTCCCCAGGGAACCAAACATCCACACCATGTGTGGATGCAGCCCCTGTGTCTTTCAATATATACCCTTCTTTCCATTAGCTACCACCATTCACAAAGAACAACAGGTCTCATTCTGGGAGGTAGGAGAGGAAAGATGGAAGAGATTTTTGCTCTGTTACTGAAGAACATGTAAAGGCCTTCTCTAAGTGCTTTTTTGTTGGCTGGAAGGATAAAGAGGGGCACCTCTCCCTAGGAAGGAGGGAGCAGAGAGTCTGCTCAGAGGATATACTGTGTTCTTTTGAATATTTGTAGGTAGTGCTTGCTTGAGGGATTACAGAGAAGATGGGCCAACAATAATCTGGGTCAAGTGGATACGTTACAGTGTCGGAGGCCAGATAGTTTATTCCAAAAACAAGTCCTATTCGGATTATTATTGCAAAATTACAGCAGTAGATTTTCTTTGATTAAAATTGACCTTTAGGATGTAAATAAGTTAGGCTTATTTACACCCCAAAGGCCTCTCTAACTTCTGTAATATAGTTTGCTAAAGTTTCTCTTTCACTATTCCTTCCCAGTTCAATACTATGTCCACTTCCTGTTTGACCTTTATGTGTCCATTGTACCTTCATTCTGATAAAATCAAGCCTAGTTTAGTACATATCTCTTCGGTCCCTTCACTTTGGCTTATACAACATGACATGTTACTACCTTCTCTTTACATATTTTCTTTTCTTGTACCTGATCTACACTCAGGATTTTTACCTTTATTATTATGCTGATTAGGTATGTGGGTTCTTTTCTTTTTGATATGGTTGTACCAAAGGAACCCTGTAGCACAGCTGCAACTACGCTAGCATAAAAAGTGCATTATAACAGTGGTGCTCAACCTCCAGCTCATGGTCTAGATCCCTCCTACTAGGCCATATCATCTCTCGGGGCTTTCTATGGGTCTGGATATTTGGCAGTGGGGGAGCAGTGGCAGCATTAATTACCACTCCCCAATGTCAAATTTCTAGACATGTAGAGAGCTCCACAAGCCAGGTAATAAGGCCCTGCCTTGGCACATAGGATTGTTTCATGGATGGATCTGGGCATGCAGGTCAAGCCAATGTGCAGCCACATCCAGCCCACAACTGCATCTGGTATGAGGGTTCAGGCTGGTGCACAGCTGCATCCAGTGCTTGGGGTTGGGGTAGCTCACAGCAACATCAGGTCTGCAGTTGCATCCATGTGTGTTGGGTCGTTAGCCAGCATATGGAATCACACCCACAGACTGACCCTGCACATAGACCCATGGACCAATCCCATGCCATTCATTCAGCTTGTAGGGCCAGAAGGTTGGGCACCACTATATTATAACATCATTCTCTTTCTCATGCCCTACACTTTTATACTAGAATAACTTTGCCCACAATAGGGAGTTGCATTGCATTACTTATGCCAGGTGCAGTTGTGTATTTGTGTGAGTCTGTGTAGCTCAGTTATGTGGCCTGCCACTGACTTGCTCAAGTCTAGTCAGAAGCAAACTGCTGACTGCAGCCCCAAGGAATAGGAATGAGAGTGGGTAAGGAAAGCAGTTGTGTAAGGTCATTTTCTATGACCTTTTTAAAGTTGGCTGAGAAGACAAAGATGAATGAAAACTACTCCACCTGAGTAAAGCAGTCTAATCCATGCTGACTTTAAGTAGATTTTGGTGCCCAGAATGAGGGATCACTGGGAAGATGGGAGAAGTGCTGAAGGAAACCCTGGGGGGGAGGCACATGATTCAGCAGTTATTCAGCTGAGAAGAACACTTCTATTTTTTTCTTAGCTAACCTATTTATGATACAGTCACAAGTCACATGTTTATTTGCAGATTTTGTGGTTTCTAAATCCTTGCTGTTCCCAGAAAATAATTTGCTCAACCCTTTTTGACATTCCCAATGTCGGTAACAAGGGTTTGCCTTGTTTTGAAACCAGTAAAACTCATCTGTAAATCCTTTTCAGCCATATGTCCACTACAGACTGTTTAGTCTTATATATCCCAATTCTGTCAGTCTGTTGGTGTGAGTCTTTATTCTATATTAATCTGTTGATGTGAGTCTTTGCCACAAAGGTAAAGGGTAGTAGTTGGACACCTTATGTCTCTTGTTTTTATATTTCATTGCTTGTGTGAAATTCATGAATTCCTACATTCAGTTAGAAAGTGAACATGACTGACTTTATAAAGAAAGCTTTGCTTTATCCTTAACAGAGTGAGTTTATTGTTCTTTTCCCATAAAATACATAAAACATGGTCCTATTTCCATTCATGTTTGATCCTTTAATTATCTTTTTGGATACTTGATAATTCCAAGTTCCAATTTTTAAGAAACCTCCTGAAGCTTCACACGGTCTGATGAGAACTTTGTATGCTTTGGCAACATTTCAATAACATGTTATACCAATACAGTTTTAATGAACTGAACTGAATTAAAACAATGCAGTATTTTGAAAGCATGACTTTAAACAATTTCTGTAGCATTCTAATAAGAACTGATTACCACAAGAATTTTTTCTTGTGATAGTTGCTCACATATATTTACAAATAATTCTAATTACATTAACATACATTTAAAATTAACAAAGAAGTAACTAGGTCCAAAAACAATATTTTGCTATCATATAGAACTGTTGAATTCTGTGGATGAGTGACTTTAAAAAAAAAAAAAAAGGTAACAATCCTAGAATGGCTCCTGGATGCCATGCTAACACCAACAAATCTGAGGTGCACATGTGAGAAATGTTGCAGAGGAAGTCAGAGGAAAAGCTAGGAATGCTAGGAAAAGCTCTGGTGTCCAGATTCTTTCCTCCTATCTATAGGGCCCACTCTAATTACCCATGGCACTCTCCTCTTAGTACATGGTAGGCGTGGATGTCCTTTCACAGAAGTTGATGGGAAGCAACCAAATGTAAAAATAGGTTGTTTCTTTTGTGACTCTCTAGGCTTAGACTCACTAAGCTTTTAGCTAATCAGGGCTATATTTTACTGTATCCAGGTCTGTGCAAATATCATCTATACATTTTTACAGAGCTTTTATTTCAATCTAGGAGCAGTAGCTTTTATCTTGTCTTATTTAGCTGAGAGTCTCAGCTTGCAGTATGATACTTGATATTTCTCTAGAAAATGTACTTCACCATAGCTGATAACTGGTTACCAAATTTTATACAGGGGAAACGGAAAACCTGAAAACTCCATTTGAAGGTTCGACAACGGATGCAGGGTTTATAGCACTTGGTCTATATTCAGCCCTCTTTTCCTACTCTGGATGGGATACTCTGAATTATGTCACTGAGGAAATGAAGAATCCTGAAAGGTACATACATATTCTCAGATCCCCCAGGGGTGTTATACAAATTATAAAAGGATAAACTCATAGCAAGATAAATGGATTGTTCAGTATTTTTTTCTGTTTTCAAATTAAACAATCTGCTATAGTTTACACATTTCCACAGTTTTCATATTTTAGGGAGGAAACTTTCAAGGATTTGGGTGCCTAATTTCTATAGGCCCCTCTAAAATTCCAGGGGTATAGATTGTAGCCATGTTGGTCTAAGGTCATAGGCAGACAAGGATCTGATATCTTTTATGAGATCTAATATATTTAATAAATTATAGATCTCATAAAAGATATCAGGTTCACCCAAAGAACCTTGTCTGCCTCTAAAATTCCTGCATTCCTTGGGCCAGCCAGGGTTATATTTTACTTTCAGAAAAGAACCAAGACCAAAAGCAGAAATGAGTCAGGACAAAAAGGATTAGGCTTGTCCTAATGCCTTGGTAGTGAGAATTGAGAGAAGAGAACAATCCAGAATAACAGGCAGTAGAAACATTCTCTATTCTCTATCAGGGTAAATGCCCTTGGGAGAACAGTATGCCTCATAAGGTTAGGGAGATATAATTTATAACACTTATGACAACAATAGGATCTGTGTCAGGACAGTATCTCTATTGAAGACATCACTTTTAAAAAATGTACATAAATCCTGTTGAATTTAATGGAATTTAGCACACATTTTAGGTGCAGGCAGAAGTGACAGTCTTCACCCAATATGACCCCTGAATGCACTCTACAGCCTTAACCAAACAGAAGTGCATAGCTGCAGAGCCTGATCCCAGAAAAATCTGAACCCTCATTGCATGAGAGTTTAGATGAAGATGCTCCAAAATGGAGCAGCTTCAGTAACTTTTGTCTGCATTGCCTCTCAGCCCCAGTACTGTTTTCAGAATGGGAAGGGGGAAAGAGAGTGAACGGAGTTTGGTTTGGGGGTTTTTCAGCTGGCACTGGAGGGCGGGGTGGGTGGATTGGAGCCCCCTCCTCCCCCCACCCCTCGGGGGGAGGGGGGGGGGCTGTGAAGCACCATGAGTTACGATGGGGAGCTTCACTTCTGTCTGTGCCTTTTGTTGCTCTCCTAAACTCGGTCATTAGTGAGATTAGTTCATATGCAGACATTGTGTGGAGATGGAATTGTGTAAGCTTTTACAGGAACTCTCTATGTGTGAATACTTCAGCATGATTGTCTTTACAGAATGAGGCCATAAGTGTATCCAAGCAGTCAACTAAATTACTCATAGACATGTTCAGAATATCTTATAAAGTTTGTTTTCTGTAGTCTTTAGAATGACATGATGCAGACATGCATTTCTGAATTCTTGTATCTGGGAGGAAAATTTCCTGTTTTAATAACATGCAATGCCCTTATCTTCCTATATGCAGGAACCTACCAATTTCAATTGCAATTTCAATGCCTATTGTGGCTATTATTTACTTGCTGACTAACATAGCATACTATGTAGTACTGGACATGGGCACTCTCCTAGCCAGTGATGCAGTGGCAGTGGTAAGTTGTATGCAGTTATTAATCAAATGGTACAATATGGATAATGTTATAGAAGAATTTAATACAATCCCCTATATAGCATATTTTAACAAGTTAATTAAGATATGTCCAGTGTGTGTGTGTATTAAATCTTGTGCATCATAGTTCTGTGAAATAAAATCAAAATATATGATGGCTCCCATATAAGGCATATATGCTATGAACTAACATTCATTTATCCTTCTATATTCCTTTGTAAAAACCTTATTTTGCTAAAAGATTTATCAGAAGTTCATATGAAATACAAACATATGCATATGGTTTGGCATATTTTACACACATACCCTATCTGAATCCTTGCCATTTCAATCACAAACTACAGAAATTTGCAAAGTCCCATTGAAAAAATGCTGGTTTTGCCTTTACCTGTTTCATTCTTTCAAAATTTCCTTCATCCATTCACTGATTGCCATGTTCATTATCATCATTCTCATAAAATGTAGGCTAGGGAATGGTGCACTTAGGCTGATAAACTTACATAGCATTTTTAAGGCTGTGGTATATTTAACATGGGAAGTCTCAAGCTCTTTCTTTTTCTATTGCAGACATTTGGTAATGAAAGCCTTAGTTATGCTAAGTGGATAATTCCTATTGCAGTGGCCATGTCATGTTATAGTGGATTGAACTCATCAGCTATTGCAGCTTCCAGGTATGAAGCATGAAACATGTAAAAAAAAAAAAAGAAGAAGAAGGCATCATTCAGCATCAAATGAAATCATTAAAAATTTCATTATAATGGTGCTTGCTGAAATTAAGGATCTGTCACTATCTCCCCTTTAGACTTTATTTTCAGAGATTTAATATTCTAGGGTAAGAGTAATAGGCGTTCATTCGGGCTTTGTAGACTATTGTTAACAGAAGTTAAACAAGAGAGACTGAGTTTATTCTGTCACTTTGGTCTTATTTGCCTGCTAGATTTGCTACAAGACATCTAGGGGTTCTGGCAGATGTGCAGTTCAAGGCACAATGGGATCTGATGCACAGTCCCAACAATTGTGCTTCCTGCCATTACACATACATGGCAGGAAGTGTAACTGTGGGATCACACATCCGATCCCATCACACCATATTGCTGCAGGGGGAGCCCGGAATCCTGATCCCCAACAGTTGATAGGACTACCAGACATGGGGGTGCACCATGCAGTCACAGTTGAGAGCCCCATCAGCTGACAGGGCTCCCAGCCACAGGAGGCCTGGCACACCCCCAAAGCTGGGAGCCTGGGTCAGCTGATGGCTCCCAGACATGGGGGGGAGGGAGGGTTACAATGAAGTCCTTGACTCCAGCTGCACCACAGGGCTGGGAGCCCTGATCTGCCACTGCTCCCAGCCGAGAGAGCATACTGGAGTCAAGGGCTTCAATGAATCCATGCAGCTGGGAGCAACAGCTGATTAGTTTCCAGCCTCAGTAGCACATAGGAGCCCTTGACTCCGGTGGGTCCCCTGTGGCTGGGAGCCTCAATCAACCTCACCACAAGTTCAACTAATGGCATGAAAGGAACCAGAAATAAAGGTATTACATATGTTTTGTGTAATAACTTTGTAGCTTATGCCTTGTGTTATCAAGCCATTCATTGCATTAACATGTGGCTGGGTAACCACTTAAGACAGGATTAACTAGTTAATCACAAATTTAAGTGTAATATTATGCCAGGGGCCTCAGGCCAGTGCTATGAGTTAGGCACAGCAACATGTAACATTAGGCATCTGCCTCCTATTACACCCAAGTGGAAGCCAGAGTTAAGTGCCTAGGATCCTTGTACAGCACATAAAGAGAGTTACAATCAAAAGGGGGATCAAAAAACCCATGTACTAAGCAGGAAGCTACCTAGAGCTAGCCAATAGGAAACACTAAGCACAGGGATCTGTATGAAATACTGTCCTTCTCCATGATTTAGGCATCCTGAGTCAGGGCTGCAGGCACATGTGTCCATCCAGTTGGGGTTCAGATCTCTGAATATGCTTATGAGCACATACAAACATTCTCTGAATGGACTGAGTGACTCTCACTTTTCTTTTAAAATTCAGGAGTGGGAGGTGATGCTGGTGATGCTTCACCATTTTATGATAGACTAGTGGCTGAAACAGTTGCATAGGGAGTGAAGAGAGAGGTTCTAGGCCTGACTTAGTCTGACGAGAGTCAAACCCACATTTCCTTATGCATCCCAGAAGAGTGACATAACACCAGGTTATAGGTTAGCTCAGTGGGGTTGACAGAGGCAGGAGGACATGCTCTCTGCCACCCCTATTGAAGCTGTGCCACTAGTTAGAAAGGAATACAAGAATCATGGAGCAAGGATGAGTGAGCCCAAGAATGGGCCTGACTGTAACTAGCTGCACCACCATACCTAGACTGCTGGTGGCCCAGGGCAAACTTTTAGTATCAGGCCCTCCTTCACCAGAGATAATGATAATAATAATTAAAAAATTATCATTTTCAGGCCCCCTTTCTATCCGGGCCCTAGGCAGCCATCCAGTTCAGCTGTGCCTGTGTCTGGCCCTGACTAGTTGGTTAGACAGAAATCCTGGGTTCTGGTCTTTGCTCCTAGGACTGTCTGTACATTTGATATTAAAAAGTCAGTGAATGAAAATCAGATGTAATCCCAGGAGTTGTGAAAGAACTCTGTCTAGGAAAAGAGCCCAGCACATAGCAATGCTGCCTGAATACTGCATTCTTATCTTCCTCCACCCCTCCCAATGCTAATCTCAGTTTGGGAGGTTACATTGATAACAGTATTTATGATGAAAATGATAATTGTAACAACACCATGGGAACACTTGGGCTAGGTACAGACATTCAAAAAGCATGAGGCGGAATCAATCTAAATTGCATGGTTTTCTGTAAGCGACATAGCTTAGATAGACCATGAACAGAACATACATCAGGACCTGGGAGAACAGCTGTTCAACACAGCTCCCCAAGGGATAATGAGGTCTAACGGCCATAAACTCCAGGATGGCCAATTTAGACTAGACATAAAAAATGAGTTCTTTATGATGCGAGTGTCCAGGGTCTTGAACAAACTCCCTACAGAGGTGGTGCAAGCACCTACTCTGGACTCTTCCAAAAAACAGGTGGATATATTTCTTGCTGGGGTCATTTGACCCCAACTGATTTCCTGCCTATGGCAGGGGGACTGGACCTGATGATCTCATGAGGTTCCTAATGTCTATGAAATCTATTAAATTTGCCATTGTGGGGGAGGGCAAATCCTTGACTGTGTCCCACCATTTTTAAACCAGTCTGTGTGTGCGGAACTTCTGTTCTGTTCTAGATATAAACCGGCCGTTGTGGCCAACCAGGTCAAAGTCTCATTTTCCAATTTACAGAATAAGCATATAATAAATGCTAATCACTGACCCAAAGAGCTTACAGTCTGAGAGACTGTATGGAGCTTTTCTGCAAGAGCTGTGGCATGCCATAAAGACAGCACAGAGGATTTGTCTGAGGTGTCTCCTTTTTAAGTATTGCCCATCTCCAAATATTCTGGGTGGTGATTGATAATCCCAGTAGGACCTATTACTATAGTAGGAGCAATAGCTTTCATTTTATTTTAAGGTGCAGGCATGTTGGGTTTTTTTCAGAAGGGTAATGAACACACAATGCTTGCACTGAAGTAGCATTGTAGGTATCAGTGGCAAAGTATCACTCAGATAAGGATTCTACAATGTAGTGTGATCTGATTATTTACCAGCATGGTCAATACTTGTCACAATAAATCCTTTCTTAATGATGAAGAATTTTCATACTATGGTACATTTCCTAGGGCTATCAGTCAGTGAAGGTATGGGTACACAAAAAGTTTATAACAACAATGCATTTAGAGGCAGTCATAGGCACCGACTCCAGGGGTGCTCCAGGGCTCAAGCAGCCACCAAAAAAAATAGTGGGTGCTCAGCACCCAGAAGCCATGTCCACAGGCTGCTTGCAGATGTTAAAAAAACCCCAAAAATATGCTTTACCAGAAGCAGCAGCACATTACTTCAACCCAACTCTAAAGCATCTGTAAAGATTGGGTACTTCACCTGATTCAATCAGCTATTAGCTAAAAGCACCAAAAGAGCCCCTCTAAAGTACCTGATCCTTACAGATGTTGGTACCAGAGCTGGGTTGAAATAACACACTGACTCTTTTGGGCATGTGAAGGGCTCGGTGCAGGAGCACTCCAAGTTTAAATGAAGGCCCATTTTGTTCTGTTTTTTTTATGTCTGCAAGCACCAAGTCAGAATCTATGGGGACAGTAAAAGTTTATAGCACAGAAATAAGACAGTTGGTGCTGGTTTGTGTAAAAACAGCAGGATTCTGTTTGACTAATTAGGCTTTTTTCTTTTCTCTTGTATTAGGCTTTTTTATGTTGGGGCTCGGGAAGGACACCTTCCTGACAGTTTGAGTTTGATTCATGTGAAGTGTTTCACCCCAGTCCCTGCTCTTCTCTTCAATGTAAGTAACAGTTCTTTCTCACAGTTTTAGGATTCAATAGAAAAATGAAATGTTGAGAATCTCTTTTGCCCCTGACTTTTCTAAGCCTGACTGCATTAGTCAAACTTCTCCAAAATGATTGCAGGTTTTAAAACCAGTGTGACCATACCATGAGTGAACATTAACCCAGTGTAAGACCAGCCTAACCAGTTACATCAGAGAGGGCAAAATACAGCCCATGGGTTGAATCCGGCCTGCCAGGCCATTCTATCCAGACCGCAGGGCCCCTAAAAATTTAGGAAATGTTTATTTATCTGCTCCTGGCTGCCTGTCAAAGAGCATAGGAGCCTGGGGCAGTAGGACCCAGGGGAAGCCGGGGGGACTTACTAACAAGGCCAGCCCATCACTACCCTGCCCCGCCCCCAGTCCCCTCCCCCCCATCCCCCA